AGATATTAAGTTTCCATTGTTCCAGTATTTACCTTGTACCTGTAACATGTATAGCATTACTAGCTAAGTACATTACTGTTATTTTCTCAACCGTTAACAGGTTTATATCCAACTTGGAATTATAATAACTAAAGTAAATCTTGGGCTGAAAATAAACTAATTTTAACGAGGGAACATGATAATTATCCTCTGCTATGTTTGTGTGTTTGAAGTTATGCACAAAGCTACACAATGGGCTATCTGTGTCCTGCCCACCACTGGTATCGAAACCCGGTTTCTAGCGTTGTAAGTCCGCAGACATACCGCTGTGCCTCTGGGGGACATATGATGTACGACAGTGTGATTGTGCTTATTGTATACTTCAAGACAATAAGTTTTAATTATTGAACAAAGGAAAATCTTAAAGCAAGGAACTAATCCTTAAAAATTCTAATGCAGTAGCGTTATAGCGCATTATTTTATATTACTGATAAAATATTTCATAATACAGGCATGCAAGTATAAAAAAAGTAGCTACTGTGTTGATGAAAGGCTAGTTTTTAATATATATATACATAGGGAAGTTGCAGTTTCTAATATGTAGAGATAAACATTAGAAAGTAACTAAGAAATAAACTTCATTCTAACTTGCACGATTAATTTTATCTTTATAAGCGCGCCTTGGTGGCTCAGCAGTAAACTTCCAGGCTTATAGCCCTAAAAACCGGGGTTAAACACCAGCGGTGGGTAGCTTTCCACTCAAAAACAAACAACTGATCAACATAAGTTTAGTGTCGGGATCGTTATTTGTACAGTTATTTTCCACATTTCTTTTGAGATCAATGAAGTAATAAGATGTTTTGGATTATTACTATTTTGCTCGCACACTAAAGCTACTGATCATATATAATTGGCGGTGAAGCCTTTTTTTTATTCCTGTAAACTTCCAGTGGAGCATAGGGCCGCAACAACACTTCGCCAACGGAAGGTGTTGTTGCAGTTATTTGTAGCAGGTTGGTTTTTACGGGGTGGAGTTGCTAGCCCCGCGCCCAACCCTCCTTCTTTCTCATCCTGGACTTGGGACCAGGCATGTTTGGTGTGACGGGGATTCGAACCCGCGACCCTCAGATTACGAGTCGAGCGCCCTAACCACCTGGATATGCCGGGCCTGGGGGTGAAGCCTAGAAATGAGAAATTCTCAACTATCTTCGTCACAGTTACTCATTACCTAAACATATGTTGATTTCTTGGTTAACCAACATAAGATTTGAGCTCTTAATTAACGATCATACTTTTCTGCAACAGCAAGAAAGGTAAATAATCTTTTTGAATAACACATATAACACAACACAATTATGCACTTTCTCAATCCATAATACAAGAACAGTAAGTAATGCATACATCCATGTTTTTAATCTGGATGTCTTGTAAATACATTAACAAATGTACATCGAGACTTTCCATTACAGAAAATAAAAACGAATTAATTCTTGTCATTTTTTTTTGTTCTAGATTCTATCATGGTAAAGTGCTGCAAACATACACACAGAGAGACGCACAAATAGTAAGGAAAACCTATACAAGAGAAGCGGAACATGTGGCTGGGTTGCTAGTTTTCCAAAAATATTATTAATTGGCGCTGGTCACGCAAGCAATTTGTATATGTCACATATGGTAGCTTCAGAATTTCCAACAGTTTTTGAAAGCAGTATAATGCATAAACATCATTATTTCAGTTGATAAAATTAATGGAAATCGAACGTTGTGGAGCGAATAAATTTCCTTTCGTACGTAATGACTTTCACGTGCTGATTCTGTGCTCAGGCTATGAACTACGCGGTTACACTGGCTGTGTCTTTAAAGGAGTTACTCTCATAAGGAAATGAAAATCGTCTGTGCTAAGGATTCCTGAAAAATTTTGCCAAAAATTGTTATTTTGTTAAAATCCAATTTATTCATAGAAGCTCATTTTAAATTGTGGAAAACAATATCGTTAAGCTAGTAAATTTAGTCGTGCTTCCACAGACACAAAATTCACCTGTGTTCAGAATTATTACGGGGTTTTTCAATTAGTGGTAATAAACTTAGTTAATAAGCAACTTTTTTTTTGGAAAATCAAATTTTGTATTACAAAGCAAAGTACTAACAAACTCTTAAAAATACAAGTTTGATGTACGTGATTTAGTACATGAAGCCCCCCCCCCCCAAACAAACAAACAAATACTACATGAAATATATTTTGACTCTAAATACTTTATTATTTGTTGGAAATTTGTTCAATAGGGTATGAAAAAGTCTCCAAATGTGTACGGTAAAATCGACAAGCTCTCAAGGCCACGCCAGTCTTTAATGCATAGGATTTATTGTACGGCGGAAATGAAAATCCTCCATGTTCGAAAGACTTGAAGAGTCTTGTAAATAATGATTAATATACTTAGTCAATAGTGAGTTTATATAGAGAAGGAAAGCTTTTATTACCTGTTAAGTTATCAAGAAACATATTAGATCACCTGTCACGCTACAATGGAGTTTCGCATTTATAGAGAAATATAGCAATCATGCATAATTAGAATAGGAATCACAAAAGCATTAACTTCTGATGTTAGATGTAGGGGAAAAAACCTTTCCAAAATACTATGGTCAGTCGAACTCTGTAATTGAGTTTAGCTTTATTATTTTTTTTTACGAACTTCAGATGTGCGGTATGGACGGGGATGCAAATATGACACCTTTGTGAATATAATATAAAGAAATACACATATACAAGTAGTGCAGTTAATTATATTATATTGAAAACAGGCGTATATAATATATTTAATTTGGGACTAAAGGCATTTCAGTTAAAATCAAGAGGAAAAAAGAGCCTGAAATACACTTCAATCCACCACGTTCTTAGACTTCCCCAATTTGTACATGTTGGATATTCTCGACTTTTCTCTCTGCAATAAAAAGTTCATAATTAACCATGAAACTGTTTATATGTTTATTGGTTACAGTGCATCAAGCTATTTGGTTAACTAGATGGTGCTGTACATTTTGATATGAAACATATTAATCACATATCAAACCAAAACAACTGTATCAAGATCACTTGATCACCGCAGAAATAGGTCGATGGGAGGAAACGTCGCTTCAACAAAAATGTTCAATGATTAATGTAAACATTTACTGTGTTATAGCTGATCAGTAACTAAACCCTAAAATTTTAGTCAGCAAACCTACACTGTAATGCCAAAAGTATTCAGATATATGAGGGTCTTTCTAAAAATGTGTCTTTTGGAAATTATTTTCATTGCTTCTTCAAAAGGTCGACCAGCTTGTGATAACAAAAATATTCAGCCTAATCTCTCGATCTAACCTATTCACATGATCCCCAGAGCGTTCTAAATGGTAAAAATCTTGGCTCTGATAGGTCATTTCAAAACATCGGCATTATTATTTTGAAACAAGACATGAGCTATAAGAGTGTTGTGGCAGAAGGTATTATACTGCTGGAACGACACATTCGCTTGTTGACAAAAAACAAAAAAAACCTGCAAAGGTACTTACAATATGCTCTTTTATAATCTTTTGATATCCTTGGGCATTCCAAAATCACAGAATGCAACCAACACCGTCATAACAATCGTTCACAGCTGATACAACAAAAAATCATAATCATAATATTTGTGATAAAAAGTCTAAGGCTATCTGTCGCAATCCTTAATTTTGAGCTACTAACCAGAGGGAAGGTAGCCAGTCGGTAGCACCCATGCTAAGGGTTTGGCTGTTTCTCTTATAAGGCACCTACAACTTCAAGTTTGGGGAATATTTTGCGATATCTGTTGATTCGAACCCGAATCTCCAGCTCCAAAACCTAGAACTCTACCAAAGGTCCAAACCGTGACCTTAATCATAATAAAATTGTTCACCGGCTTACCTCCAGGCCATTATTTCGCATCACTTTGAAGCTGTGAGAAGCAGCTTTCATCACTACAGGCCCTCTAGTGGCTTAGCGGCAAGTCTGAGGGCCTATACTGCTAAAAACTGTGGGTACAGCACAGATAGTCCATTGTGTAGCTTTGTGTTTAACAAAACAAACAAACATAACCATCGCTGTAGAAAACTGTTAACAACTGGCAAATTTTCAAACATGATATGCTTTGAAACGTGAATATTCTTTAAGTTATTTATAGATTTATAAATATTATATTGACAGAGAAAACATTGCATGGACATCAACGGGGGTGTTTTTCATATGTGACGAGACTAAATTTAGCGAGGTCAATGTGAGTTTGCTGCAAATACGACTTCACTATTCTGATAATTGAACAGTTGTATGCTTCCCTCACTTCTCACCCATCTGATCTTTTTCTAGATATTATACTATAAAGTTGCAGGTATCATTGAAAGATTTCATACACTCTATTCTAGCTGTTCTTACAAATTTCTCTTTGACATTTCCAGCAACCCATAATTTCTCACCATTCAAATCTCTCTTTCACATTTCCAGCAACCCATAATTTCTCACCATTCAAATCTCTCTTTCATATTTCCAGCAACCCATAATTTCTCACCATTCAAATCTCTCTTTCACATTTCCAGCAACCCATAATTTCTCACCATTCAAAATTACTTAATTCACGATGTTTGGGCATCTTGTGAACACTTTCGTATCATTGATCTACCTATTTATTGTTTTATTTTTCCCTATCTAGAAAAGTATTTATGATTAATGGAACGTGTTTCCAGATGCGTTTGTCAGGGTAATGCTTACCAAAGAAATTAACTTGGCTTACATGTTTGTAAGATGAAAACACGATAGTTATACAACACTGTGTACTACAGAACTGATAATACAGTTTGGTATCTTAGACGAAACTCCGTGACATTGTTTATATCTTTGTGCAATATAGTGTACCAGGTTATTTAGTGTATTTCGATTTACACCACTGCTGAAGCATATATTACCGCACGAAAACGAAAAAAGGAATAACAAAGTGTTTGCTAAAGTGGAGATAGATAGATAGAGATAGACAGACAGATAGGAAATTGTACTACTCTACTTAAAAATCTGAAGCTTCTAATCATCTGAATCAGGATTAGCTTCCTCAACCTAGTAATATTTTATGAATTATAAAAGGTTTTGACCCTCGTTTGTTATCCTTAATCTGGCAGTCGAGATTTATTGGCATAATATCATATTGAAGAGGCTTAGCTAACGTTGGTTCGAAGATGTTTGTTTGAAATCTACTTACGTTCAGGTAGATTACTAAACATCACTATTTATTATCAGTATTCGCATTTGTGTCTGTATCTCCAAACACTCTTATACGTAGAAGCTAATGCATTGGTAAAATGGACAAACTGGTACAGAAGATTAGGGGATTTGCAACAATATATACATGCATACCCAAAAACTTAACATAAAGGGGATTTCTGCTTAAGCTACAGTAGCCTGGATTTACTCTGTGCATGTTGGTTGTACATGACGCGAAAGTTGATGCTCCGAAGTAGCTTATGTGTGAAATTTGAAGCGTTTAGATTTCTATGTAAAGATAAAAGATATCACTATTTTTTCTAACTTTTTATAGCAAGAAAGAACCATTCGCAAGTCCTAAGTCTGAATATCTTAATTAGAAGTCGAATCATCAATAAATTAATATCAAAGTTTTTAAAACTTATTCAAGACATTATTTTATGCTGTTTTTTACATGAAATATGAATCTAATTTAGAAGTAATGGTATCTTAAAGTTATAATCTTTAAGTTTATGGAATATTGACAAGAAAGTTTCGTAATGATATTTTCGCTGAAGACTAATGACAAAAAGTGACGTGGTGTAATATCCATATTGTAGGCTAGTGAAAAAATGGCGTAATGAAATCTTCGTGTAGAGCTAATGAAAAAAAAAGACTCCATGATATAGTGGAAGTAGACTACTGATAAAAAAATTGATATGATATTTTACTAAATATTCTGACAACTGACAAAAAACGAAGTCATGATATCATGGCAATGTATTACTGATAAAAAAAGGATGTGATGATACTTCTCTTGAGGGCTAAAAAGAGATGTCATAATATCCTAGCTAAAGAATACTGACAAAAAAACGACTCAATAATATCTCATCTTTGGACTCTGAAAAAAAAAGTGACGTCGTGATATCCTAGCTGTGTACTACTGACAAAAAGCGACGTCAGTTGACAACCTATGTAAGAAATACTGACTAAAAGTGACTTTATGGTATTTACACTACTAACTCTGACAAAAACTGGCATCGTGATATCCAAACTGTAAGAGGTACTGTACAGTAAAGACGGTGATTAGACTTGGTTCAATAGTCTTCCAGTTAATTACGATACAAAGAAAAAAAAAAACGACCTGGCATGACCTGGTGGTTAGGGTGCCCGATTCACAATCTAAGGATCGCGGGTTCGAATCCCCGTCACCGCACATTCTCGCTTTTTTCAACCGTGCGGACGTTATAATGTGGTGGTCAATCACACTATTCGTTGGTAAAAAAGTAGCCCGAAAGTTGACGGTGGCTGGTGCGTTCCTTCTAGTCTATCACTGCTACATTAGGGTTTGGTTTGTTTTGAATTTCACGCAAAGTTATATGCCCCTAATTTAGCAGTGAAAGACTAGACGGAAGGCAGCACCGCCAACTCTTGGGCTACTCTTTAACCAACAAATAGTGGGATTGACCGTAATATTATAGCGTACCCACGGTTGAAAAGGCAAGCATGTTTGGTGGGATGGGGATTCTAACCGGTTGTTTGTTTTACAGCAAAGACAAAGCCACATTGGGCTCTCTGCTTGTCTACCGTGTGGATCAAACCCCGGATTTAAATTTTGTAAGTCCGCATACTTACTGCTGTCTCCCGGGGAAACAGGAAAACGAAAAGTAAGTTGTGGAAAGATAACTAAAATGTTACGTTCCTGGGTATTAGAAAGGCATGAAAAAAAGAAGTGGATAAGATATCTGAAGAATAAATCAAACAGAACTTCGGACATATGGAATGAATTAGAACAAATTTTACAAGATGATTAATGTAAATGCAATATAAAAGAGAATAAATAAATAAAAACTTTAAAAGTAATTTTAGAACATGAGTGGAAAATAGAAAGATCGTGGGAGCTCAAGAAGAATGACGATCAAACCCTACAATTCGATCAGACAAGAAGATATCAAGAGTTGACGGAGGATACTGTTGACTAGCTGCCTTCCCTCTAGTCAATCATTTCAAAATTGAAGATCGCTATGTGAAGGTAGCTTTAAGCGTGATGTTAAAGCAGACGAACAAACCAGTCACAATGAGATGATTGTGACGATATCTATCTGAGGGAGCAGAACATCTCCTTCATATCAAAGTTAAAAGAGACATTACCACTCACCATGCCATGTTTCTTGGGCACGGTAAAACTGTAATGGAATATGGTTACTGTTTATTTCCATTCGTATCGCAGAAGCATCAAGCAGTGTGTAATAATTACATGATAATCAAAGTTATCACAACAGTTATGTTGTAACATTGAGATAACATTTATAAGTTTCAGGATTGGGCCTGATATGTTTAACATACCCACTAAGTGCTTAACCAACCGAAATAAATTATTGATGCTCTAGCAATTCTTACTAAAGCACTTATTAAATTACTCAAACTGTATACCAGAATTCCACATTCCTCTTCTCTCACAACCAATACCAAGGACTAAGCTAGTCAGAAAGATGGTTTTCTTTCCTCCTGACTGGTTACGCTAGCAGGAAGATCTACACTATATTATACGCAAGTTTCTGATATATTACTTATGATGGTATTCTTGAAGTTTTACAGGGGGAGAAAATAATAATTATGTCAACTCTTTTATTGCACCAAAAATGTACTCTTTTAAATTAATTGATTTCTTCTATCCATTATATAGTACAAAATGTTTCCAGCCATATCGAACCTCAATTTTCAGCCTCTGGGAACTACACATTGTTGTTTAGTACACAAGAACAACATGTATATCTACAAGAGAACCCCGTGTTTTTATTTGAGCCACAGCTAAGAACCACTTGCAATGAGAAGACACGTTTAACAACAATGAAATAAGAATCATCCGTTAGAATGTCGATTCATTCCCCATCAGATGAAACGTCTCAGCTATGTACTTTTTACAGCTATGTTAAGGTTGAGAACGTTTTAACAAAAATATTAACTTTGTAAGGTAACGTAACTGAAAGTCTTTGGGGTCTAAATTGTAAACTGATAGACTGAATTTTATAATATTTACTTTAATCTCTGAAATATACCTAAACCACGTGCTACACGCGACATATTATATGTTACAGGAGAACCTGGAACGTAAGTGAGTTCCTTGGATGACGTTAAAGCGAGGGAATCGTCATGTAATTACTTCCTACGCACAATAATCGATATTCCAGCTTTCCAAGTACATCACACTTTGTAACATCAGTTGGCTCACTAACGTCACCCAGATCTTAGGTTGTTGTGGAGATACTCACAAGAAAACGATTTATCTGAAAATCTTCTAGCATGGTCTTCTTATAATACATTTTTCTAATAATACTCTTTTTTTATTGACTAGAGTGAACATTTTTGGTAAGATGTATTCAATAAACAATAAGTATCACTTTTTGGCAAAATTTTAACTGCAAATCTTATGAGCTTGTGGCAAATCTAATTTTAACTATTAACCAAAGATCTTCAGTACTTGAGACAATATAGAAATTGTGTTGTTGATGGTTGAACTATTATGATAAAATCAACGTTTTCTTCTACAACTTCTTCTGTCTAGATTTCATATTCTATATAGTAATGTCTCGTGTTTCATATTAGTGTATTCTTTGCTTTAAGCGCTATTTCTACCCGAATAGTTTTTCTTATCTGAGTTCAAGCCATTGTCACACTTAATGTATGTTCACCAACATAATATCATTCAGCATAAACATATTGACTTTCAGTTTTTGTTTTTAAATGGAATCATAACATCACAATTTGGTTTCACTCATGTAGGGTCTCCTTACTACTTCATCTTTAGGCTTTTATCTTTTATGCAGTGTTGAATTTCAAAGTTTTATTTAAAATGCTGACTTATTCTGTTCGTTTCTATCTCAGAAATCAGTAGCAAAATTCATGCAGTCTTGAAGAAGAAACACATTTTATGACTAAGTGATAACCGTTTAGTTTGAGTAGGAATAGCCAGAGAGTTACTCCTTTAGATCAGGTAGTAAAGTTCTAGCTTGACTTACTAAAGGTAGCAGGTTCGATCCCGTGCCATACAAATATAATAACGAATTCAACATCTCAATATAAATTCATTCCATAGTGTAACAAAACTGGGTAGCAATTGTAACGTCAAGCAGCGAAATAATTCTAGATATGTATATGAATTTGGACTAACTCAAATCTCCCAAGCTGGCCGTATCTCGTGAGATATTATTGGGTTTACGACCGAAAATTTCGTTAACAGCAAGAGTACCCAGGTAATGAAACACTTAATTGTAATCTTTCTGACTAAAAACGCACGAATAATATATTTAATTAGCTGTATTCATTACTTGATTGGTTTCTATTTTTCAACATAGTGGGTAGCCTATCGTTATTATAAACCATACAAATATTATATAATATCACGCAAAATATATATTAGTATACGTCGTCTGTAAATCTGTATGCTATGAAATTGAGCATATATGCCATCTGAGCCTAGATGTTAATATTTCGTTAGAGTAATGATATCATTATTAAAGAAACTAACAAACAAAATTCATATTTAGACTTAGAAAAAAGTAAATCAATGGCGAGCAGTATATTTGATCATATCTTAATAAATTTTGTGTTTCATGTAGTGTGGCTATGAACAGTAATACTCGAAATATTTTTGTTGTTTTTTATGTGAGAAATGTATGGGCTAACTAACATATATCTCAAGCAAATGCATAGATGTTTGACAGAATTATGCAAGCAACGAAATATTAAACCGAGCTGTGTGAGTCATAATTATTACACACTGAATTCATACTCGAGTTCTACCAAGCCAAGAATTTACACTACACGTAGATGTAAAGTCTGGCAAAAAGTGGCTGAATTTGAAGGGTTACTTAAATTATGGCCTAAGTATTTCCTTATGTATTTTATTCACACCACAATCGTGTTCTGATTAAAGTAATTATATATATATATTTGGTTCAGTTGTAGTCAGAAATAAATGATATTTTCTAGTTGCATGCTTTTCTCAGAGATTACACAAAATAAAATTTCTTTCATAGAAATGTTTAGAATTATACTTCCTGACAGATCTTGATCATATGTTCAGTTCAAGCTATCAGAATTTAGCCATTTGCGTTATAGGGTCGTCCTTAAGTCATAAGTTAATACTCAAAAACCTGCGTTTAAAGTGATACACTGTCTTACAAATTCAAACGTGACTACCACCCATATTTTGTGTCACTTTGTTCTTTCATGCTTGGTCAGTTCCGGCCGACAATTGCATAGTTGCACGTGATAAAGAGATCATATCTCTGGGTCGATATCATTTCTGGAGTTTGTGAACGTTGTCACGCAATGCGGAAACGTCTGTATAAATAAGCAAGTGAATAGCACGTCTACTATCCGCCTAGCTCATAAACGAAATCAAGTATTTTGTTGGTTGCTAACAAATTTAAAGTCCTAAACAGAATATATAATGTTTAGTTAGCTACTAACGACAAAGAAGGAGGGGTATGTTAACGATGATTTGAACTGGTTGCCTTTATACTATAGATTAAATATTTATGAAATAATATATATATATATATACATATAATAAATGAATCATAACAGTTATAGGATAAATTACAGCAAGACTTTTCATATAAAAAAGAAAGTTTGGGTTATAAATGCTTGAAGGATATGGGTTATAAATGCTTCGAATTTAATTATCATAAATCAAAACTGTAAAATCGATCACTAAAAATGCTTTTTTAAATTCAGAAATTTATTGTGTAACGAATATTCGGTCAAACTTAACAGATTTTTTTGTGGTTTTCATATTATAGACACAACTTATTTACTATAAATAAAATAAAAATTTGATTTTTCTTATCAACTGAATAAGTTCTGTTGCGTCAAAATTACAACATAAATAAAAAACGTTGAACATTTAAAAAATACAAATATAACACGTGCATGTTTGCAAACACTCATATTTTTTCTATATTCAAAGTATAATAACATTCTTCTAAAAGTTGTGTATTATTTACCCTGATCCAACCAGTTGAAAACAAAGTTAAAATAACTAAGATTTGTAAGCTTAACTAATTTAGAAGGTTTAATGGTATAGATATTATTTCAATATAGAAAATTCATATAAGTTTAAAGCTCAGTTAAATTTCGATATCCACTTATATAGTTGCAAACTTATAGTTTAAATTGGGTTAAACTCTTATAACGAATTAATCCGCTTCTGTTGTTAAACGTCTAATTGTTTAGATACTAGAATTATTCGGATATTACTTAGTGATCTACACAGTTTTACAGTATTAGACTCAATCAATTTTAAGTTATCTTAAATGTTTATTGTGAAATGTTTGGTTCGCGTGTTACAAGTAGATCACAGAAAAATAGAACTTTAAACTCTAGTTTAACCTCACATTGTTTTGTGACTTAACCAACGAACCACTGTATTTAAAAAAATGCTTATATTTTATATAAAAATTCAAGATGGAAAATGCTACCTCCTTAGCAGTTTTTCAGATAAATTTATTCAGTATTACATTTTAAAAACGTCTCCTCAGGATTGTGAGCTTAGCTTTACAGCATTTTAGGATATATAAAATAAACGTTTGCCATTACCTTAGCATCACTTACAAGTAGCAAGAGCCTAATTTTTTTTCCCTTGGTTCATTTGATCTTACTTTAAGAAAAGTACAGCAGAAAAAACAGCAAGAAAGCGCTACGATATCCATTGCTGAATATCACTGTACAATGAAACCTTAAGCACTATCAGCATGACGTCTCGTAGAACTTATATATCCGCCCAAGCTAATACAGGCCTCATTTAGAGCTCCATAATTATCTCGTAAACCAAAGCCGCACGAGCTCCAGTGATGGTAATGGACTTTAGCAGTTATTGAGCACTGAGTAATTTTGTAGCGACGTGGTAGAATAATCTTGGGTAAGATCGAAGCTTCCTGGTTTCGAAATACAAGAAACAGAATCCGATATCAGGAGTAGCTTTATGCATTTTTTTTTGTATGTGAAGCTTTTATATATGTTGCTTAATAGAGAAAAAAAATGTATATAACTCTCCTTTCCCAGTCACATATTAATCTGATTGGAAGATCGAAAATAATATCATATACTAAAAAACAACAACAAACAAACAAAAACGTCAATTGTCTGAGTTACATTGGGTAAATTAACATGCTATTATAATTTGTATGAGTTACATTGGGTAAATTAACATGCTATATTATAATTTGTATGAGTTACATTGGGTAAATTAACATGCTATATTATAATTTGTATGAGGTACATTGGGTAAATTAACATGCTATATTATAATTTGTATGAGTTACATTGGGTAAATTAACATGCTATATTATAATTTGTATGAGTTACATTGGGTAAATTAACATGCTATTATAATATCTACATCAAATATCCATGAACGATGTTGTTGTTTTTTATTAAGCACAAAGCTACACAAAGGGCTATGTATGCTCTGCTCACCACGGGTATCGAAACTCGGTTTCTAGTGGTATAAGTCCGCAGACATACATACCACTGTGCCACAATCAGTAAACGAACATAACTGGTCTTTAAAGTAATGAAATAACACTTCCAGGTAAACAAAACCATCTAGATGCAGTGGAAGATGATGACAAATTGACTTTTTAGATAACTAATTATGGTTTTGTTTCGTAAACACTGTCGTAAGTATCACTTCTACATCATATACAAAAAAATAAAAGATTTGTAAAAAAACAAAACAAAATAAAGCAGAGAGGAAAGGTCTCGTTACATAACGTTCGACTTTCACGTTGATACTGTTTTATGATTTTGTATAAAGCTATTTTCAATTACTTAGAATGTAGCTTAAAACTCTTGTAAGGAATAATTTGAGGAAGGGACACCAAAAAACATGACACACCACTCTAAATTTCTGTATCTAACTATAACATTTAAAAACATAACAAGTATTGTTACTAAGTTTTCTTATGGTACTGGGCAAGATATGGTCCAGTGGTTTGTATGTCTGGACTGTGAATCCATGGGTTCATAATCTGTCTCATGTTACCTGTAACGAACTTGGTATATATATTTATTTTAATATCAAGGTTTGTTTAGATTAAATTTGTATTTTGAAACATGCATAGCCTATACAGTTAAATATGTATTGCGAAACTCTCGCTATTATAATTTGTCTGAGTTACATTGGGTAAATTAACATGCCATCATAAAAAGAAATTCCCATCATCTCAACAAAAACCTGTATCTGTTCAATCCACTAAAGTTGAGGATTCTTCTAAAAAAAATCCAGCTCCTTTAGTT